TTTTTGTAGCTGATACCGAACGGTTTTCAAAACACTACCTGAACATGTATTTGGCATAAAACATTTCTGAGTTATCAAGCTTCAAATTTGGCGTGCCCCCGCATTACCGTTACCCGACATACACCGTGGGGAGGTAACTAGATGAAAGACAACTGAATCGAGCCACATCGATACTGTGGCTAATTTTTGTGCTCCTCCTACAAAGATTACAGAAATGTACTTTTAATAATGGAGGACATGTAGAAAGACAACTATGTACCTTAAAATGGAAATACAGAACACGCGCACACACAAAATCGGCTCTTTTTAGAGCCACCATGATATACAAAGTCCGACCGAGCAATGGTGTATGTCCGGTAACGCTAATGCAGGCGCATGCATAAATAACTCAAAAACGGCTTATGCAAAATACATATGCAGGTAGTGTTTTGAAAACAGTTTCTGTTAAAACAGTTAACCTTCACAGGACTCTCCAAGATCATCGCAAAGTCAAACAATTATTATCACAATGTGTACCCCTTGACACCATGCAACATTTGTTGGAAACATTTTTTCGTATTTTTAATATTTAGGGAAATAATCGCGTGTGTACATTTAAACTGGATACGCTGTGTATAAAAGAAAAAAAATAAAGAATTATTACTGGAATATTATGGCCCCCTCTGTCTCACATAACTTTTGTAAATAAAGTTTTCCCATATCCATAAAAATAACCGAGATATTCCAGGTGATGATAGTTTTTGGTGTACCCTGTATCTGTGACGCCGGTCCCTTACGAAAATTGGTAGCGAACGTGTTAAAAGGATAACATTCGAACGTTCATAAAACCATCTCCAATAACGATGAAACTCCCACAAAAGGTATCTCTTAATAAAGTACAGGAATTTCCTCGTCGAGTGTTCGCAGAAAAATTCTACAAGTCGCAAAGTGTAACAAAAATCGGACCACCAGTGAGCGTAGTCAGTGCTGTCAGGCATCCTCATCCTCGAAGTGGACGAGCGGCAGCAAAAAACGTATGGCGTTCGGCTCGCGTTCGCGTAAATCCCGGTGGACGGTCCATCGTGGAGATAAATCAGCGTGGACGCCGGGTGAAATCGACGGAAACACGATTCGGCGCGATCAAAGGACCCTCTACAAATTGAAACAAATCAGCCGGCTAATAATAATTAATCCGCGGGCCGCATTAATTATCGAACGCCGCCACGACGTTCCACCTTCTCCTTTTTCCCCCACACTCGCTCGTGCGCGCGCAACAGCCACGCTGGGGCCCAAGCACGCGCGCGCATGCGCGTTTTTGCGCGAGCCTGGGCCCGGTGTACGCGATAATTCGAGGCCTGAACGCGCTGATACCGAATCTTGAGCACTCAATTACGCCGCCAGAGTTATGACGCGCCCTTCTACCCCCTCGATCTCTTTGTATACTCTTAACAAAGGGGTGAAGGAGGAGAGGGCACGAGGAGGAGGGATATAGAGCTCGAGGCGAGGCCCAATCGCGTCTTCATTAGCGGCTATTAATTGTCAAAATGTGCCACATAATTCAGCGCGCGCGAACCATAGCGAGGGAGAGGTTGTATCGGCTGTGGGCCTGGTTTAAAGTTAACGCGGTCAATTGATTTCTAATGGGACTCGCCTCGGGGCAGGTTCTTCTGCAGTTCAGACTTTGGATATGGAGTAGAGGTGAGTGAGAGAGGATTGGCGAAGATGGAGAAGAGAGATTCCAGTGTAAGATGAATGAAGGGAGGACAATTTTAGAAAGTGAGCAAGAAAAGCTTCCTTTTGTTCTCTTCGATGTAGGAGTTCACTTATGTAGATATAGTCAAAGGAATAAATTCTCTATGTGCAATTAACCCCAAACAAAAAATTCAAACAATAATCCATTTATACATTTCACCATCAATACATTATTAATACCTAAAATATTGGAAAAATGGTCACGAATTGTCTACAATCCATTCTTACCAGTCTTCCAACATGAACACGTCCATTGAAACGCGACATTGCACGCAACAGAGTTGCACGGCTGGGTAACGAGAGCAAGTGACCATTCTCGATGATTTCCCGGCTCGATCACCGTGTATCCGACGTGATTACACGGACCTGTGACCCTCTACTACTCCTCTTCCTCCTCGCCACATCCCCGTCAAAATGGAGGGAAAAGCGCGTAATGAAAGGACAGGCCCGCGAGCAACGTTCCTCGCGGTAATTCAACGACTCTCGACTCCGTGGGCTCTTTTTAGTTTCGTATCTCACGCGAGAAACGCCGTGTCAAAGAGGGAAAAAAGGCTGAAGGGGGTGGTGGTCGCGATTGTTCACAGAGTTGGCACGCGGCTTAATTGGCCCGATAGAGTCGATTCGATGCTCGACGAGCTTGTGTACGGGCCCGTGACCCGCGTTGGATAAAGGTAATAACTTAGAAGAAAGGTCAGAGGGCGTACTTATCGTAGCTGGGAAGGAAGGAAGGAAAATCTAGGGGTGGGGAGGTCTGCAAGAGGATCTGGAGGGCAGGTAGATAAATGCGAAGGTCCTTTTTCTGGCGATTAAAGAATTCTTCCAATATTTGTAGATTTGAAAGATTTCAGATTTTAACAAGATTTTGGATGAATTTTGTTAAAAAGAAATGGAGAGGAAGGCGTCTGATATCAGCAGCAATTGCTAAGCTTTTCTAATAGAAAAATGACGAACCGCTAACTAATAGATATATATTTTATTAAAAGAAAGTTCAGTTTGATTTATACTTAAAGTTCTTGTAAAAAAATTCTGTAATTTGTAGCCTGCTTTTCTGATCTTTGGATGCACGTAATTTCTCAAGGTTTCTCTGGGGGTAGTTCGGATTTAATTTTGAGATTCTGAAAATGTGAATAAAATGTATATTTTTACGTTGTTATATAGTTAGTGTAATTGGGGGGAGTAGAGATAAGTACAGTATTTTTCCTATTTGTTTATCGATAAACGGAATCCACCGTCGAGAAACTTGTCCCGCCGCTTATTAGTTGCGATACACTTCGTTCCTCTTAAATATACCGTAATCAGGACGAAAAATCATCGTGCCCTGCGTGTATCGTGTATGTGAACCGTTTGCGTGCCCGGTTACATCTCAATGAATGCCGCCGCGAACTCAAGAGCCGAGGAATTATTCCTACAACTCTTTGGCCGCCGGCTTTTCCTTCCCTTATTTAAACAAATTATCCATTAGGCACGATTAACCGGCTTAGCATAAGTTAATGGTATTTTATCGATCGAGGTACTTAGGAAAACCTATGAGGCTGTTCGAGAAGAGGGAAACTTCTGAATTCTAAGAATCTTCAGGTTCCACAAAGCCCACACCTTGAACTCGGAAGATTCAGAATGCCACGCCCCCGACTCTCAAAACCTTTCATCTCCACATCTTCAAAGTGAAAGCATTCGAATTGAACGCTTCCGAAATTCAAAGCTTTGAACGCCAAGAGCTTTTCTAATTCCACGCCCCTTTATTCGAAAGCCTCGGAATTCAGAAAATTCGATACTCCACGCCTTCAAACGCAAGGCTTTTAAACACCACGCCCTCAAATCCAAACCTTCGAAATTCCACGCCTACGACACAAAAGCCTCCAAATTGAATGCGGCGAAAATTGAACGTCATTAAATTGAAATCTAGTCTGCGTTCTCAAGGAAATAATTGAAATTTTCTGGCGAAGTCATGGTCATTTTAGACGGGAGCGTGTGAAGGAAAAGCACGCTCGGTTTCGAGCGATCGCCCTGCGAAATTTGTTTACAAGAAACGCGAGATTGTAACGCGGCTTCCCCCTTTTGTCCTGCGCCGTGAGATCATCGGATCGGAAAATCATCATCCGTCGTTTCCTGCAATTACGATCCTCCGCACAAAGGCGTTCGCGTGCGTTTTCTGCCCGGTATACAGTCATCGTGTGTCGGGAAATCATCATCCGTCATTTTATTTTCCTTTTCTCGTCTTTCCTCCTCTGCTCTCCTATCATTCTCTCCTCGATGCGCTTCGGAGTTAGGAGACCCGTGTCGCACTCAAATGTGCGTGCCTGCAAACCTGCGTGCAGATCGCATTTCGGTGCTTGTTTACCGGGGGTTGAACGATACCGCTCTGTTCCGGACAGGAAGGCAAATGGCTTTTTCTCCGTTTAATCCCCTACTTTCCTGATTCCGCCTTATTTACCCTCCGTGGCTCGATACTCTTCTCCTGTTGGCTTGTCGCGGTAATTTGACGCTGTTCTATGGAAAATTTAGCCAATTGCGACTTATGAGGACGTACAGAAAAATGCTCAACTATTTCTCAATTTGAAGATTTGTATAACTTTCTCACGAAGTATTTTCAAGTTGTAGAGAATGATTCTGGAAAATATTTCAATGAAAGGAAACGCGTATAGTAGATTGTATATTAATCTGTTACGCGATGAATACGTATAATTCAACAGTAGTCGAAGAATATCGGACTTCGTGAAGTTACAAGAAGATTATAGGCTGTCTATTAAGAGTGTATAGCCTCAGAATAATAAACCAAAGTATAGAATCATAGCTGGTCATGATCGGTGATAATTTTACATTAGATCTGTTGAAATGCTATCAATTTTTCTCAATCGTACATTCTGAATCACCGTAAAAAGGTATTATCACAATTTGGCAAGTCCATAAACTATTAAAATGTTAACTAGGCTCGATGACGGTTCGAGACCTTTGAAAAATGTACGTCCACTGCGAGCTAGAGTAGACAGGGTGCGTTGGCTCGAGCAAAGGGGATGATGCTTGCGTAAACGTGACACGTAGAACAAAGCTGACGGCTTGGCGTGACCTGCGAGTGTTGGGTGTGGACACGAGCTGAGTGAAGATAAAATAACAGTGAGGGTGCAGGTAGTGTGCCTGAAATTGTGCTGTAACTTTGCATTCGAGGAAGAATGGAGCAATTCCTCGCGATAAATATACAATCTTCGAGATTCTGTCAGCGTGGAACGTTTGCTTTTTTCACGATTATCGATGAAGATAGACGTGACAAGTACCTGATGGAAGCCAAGGTAACTTTCTATGCTGTGGGTAGCAAAGAACACTTCCCCGTCGCAGGTCAGTATGAGCAGGAACCCGTTCAGCGCCTGTAACATATGAATCATTTCGTAAATGTTAACGAATATTCAAGTTTTGTTTCATTGGAAATTTTTTTCATTTATCATTATTTCAGCACTCTTCAGGAGAAAGATCTTAAAAGACAAATAAGAAAATGTTTTAAAATTGTCCAGTTGCCTACAATTCTCCAAACTTATTTCCTAATTATTTTATACTTCTGTGAAACCTATATTATCAAAACCTCGCAATAATCTCAGATTTTCATTGAAAACAAAAAAAAGAACAGTTCAAAAACGAACGAGAGAAAGTTTTTTCTGGTAGTAATTCAGTGGAATAGAAGGGAACTGCAACGAGCACTCGTTTCCTTTCCTGAAAAGCGAGCGGGATTTCGCTTGGCCGTGCGAAAACGTTTCAGAAAGTTTTCCCATTTATCGACGTGCCGATGTGTCGGCTTTCGAATACCAAAACGAGCTCGAAACTCGAACAGCCGTATCGAAGCCCGAAATATCCGTCCTAGTTTAAATGGTCTGGGGGTGAAGAACGCGCGCGCGCGGGGGAGTAGAGGCCATTTAAGCCGCTCGTCTGCCCACCCGTTTCCGAGGCTAAATGTGTATTGTTTTGTTTTATTTCGACCCGTTGCCGTAGGTGCCCGTGCCAGGTACGTCCTTCCGACGGACTTTATTGTTGGGAATTATGAAGAGAGACCTCTGAGTCTTCCTACGCCCTCCGGCGGATTTTCCTTTTACTTGGACTTTCGAATGATAGCTCGATCATGGAATGAAGGAATCTTTTTATGTTTGCAGTGGTAGTAATTGAATCTGATCTTTTAGCGGTGAAAGGTTGTGAATTTTGAGCTTAGAAATCGATAGATTACATAGGAAAGGCAGAGGAGAACGTTGGCAAATTGAAAGTTTCTGGAATTGAACGCTTCCGAATTGAAATTTCACAAATTCCGCGGTCCAAAATTCAAGGGCTTCCGATTTCCAGGCCTTCAATTTAAAACCTCCTGAATTCCAGCTTTTAACTTGAAAGTTTCTAAACGGGACGCCCCTCCCCCTCTTTCGAAAGCATTCAAATTCCACGCCTCCAATTCGAAAGCTCCGAAATTCCACGCCCCCAATTCGAAAGCTCCGAAATTCCACGCCCCCAATTCGAAAGCTCCGTAATTCCACGCCCCCCATTTCGAAAACTCTCGAATTCCACGCCTACAACTCGAAATCTTCTAAATTCAACGTTTTGTATCAGAATGTTTTTCAAATCGAACGCTACCCGATCGGAAGCTTCCAGAATGTACATTTGAGATGTGAAAGTTAATAAATGAAATTATTCTGGAATGGAACGCTTCAGAGACTACTGAAATCCATCGGAAAGGCAGAGACGCCATGGCCAATATAGCCAGGGGATCGGAGCGATCGCATGCGCGACGGATGCTGCGATTTGATTGGTTAATCCAGAGGGTGGGTTTCTCTCTCGGCGGTCGCGTCAATACGGATCCGCGCAGAGGGTGAGTCTCCCCGTGCCTCGATCAAGCCCCTGTACCACGAATATAACCTGTAATAGGATTTTCTCGCTGCCTGCTTACGCTCCTTCCCCTTCGAAATGGCCGACATGGCCATTTCTGTACCACACCGTTCCCCCCATGGGATTCCATTTAATCGGTGCGATTGCGTTTCACCTTCTATCCTTCCTCCTTGATTATCAACATATCTAATCTACTATCGGTCAACAGAAAGATTCTACGAATAAATTGAGAATTTAAAAAAAAAAACAGGAAAATAAAAAGAAAGGAAGGGAAAAGTTTCTCTTATATTTGACCTCTAAAGAAACGAGGTTCATGATTGTCATTGTAATAAAATAAATTGTAACACGTGAAATAGGTACACTGAGAAAATGAAAGGAAAGATGAAAAATTAAGAAAATGGAACGGAAGAAGGGTAGGTATAGTTTGTACAATTTCTTTCGAATTAAGTTCACGGTTGATAAGATCCAGGAAGAGCAGCGAAGGGTGAACACAGGAGAGGACAGGGAGGTAACCCGAGGAAGAAGAAAATCGATGGATTTTTATATCTCGCGTGTGCTGACCGCCGCGGCTGGGCGAATCAGTCGCGTGCCGAGTTGCGAGTACTCGCGTGTTCCGTCCAAGCGTGAACTTCTAATACCCCTTCATCCTCACCTTGACTCTCGTGTATTAGCGGGTCGCCAATAATACTTCACGCACGAAATCTTTCCATTTTCTTCGCTCATGCAACTCTAGAAGTCACGGGCGCGGACGCGGACCGGCTCGATCAGCCGGTATGCAGATCCTAGAAATAACTAGAATCGGAATTACACCTTTCTCGATACTTTCCTCAGGTTCCCCTCTTCTTCCTTCTCCTCCTCTAAACGCTTTAGAGCAATTTTACGTGCAATTCATCTCTTGGTCGCGAGTGTCGTTAACGCCGTTTGTAGTACAAGCGTTTTACTTGGGCATTGTGGACGCTTTAAAAAGGAAAGTTTTCGAGCGAGCAGCTTCCGAAATTAGACTGCAATTGAACGCGTTCGAATTCAAAAGCCTCCGTGTTCCATGTCCCCAATTTGGAAGTTCCCGAATACCACGCCCCCTAATTTTAAAATACTCTAATTCCACGCCTACAAGTTTGAAATCTATGGAATGTCACGCCCCCAATTTCGAAAGCATTCCAATGTCACGCCTTCAACTCAAAAACTTCTAAATTGAACGCCTTCAAATTGAGAAATTCGAAGAAGCAAGTCCCGAATTGAATTGTTTGAAAATTGAAAGCTCAGAGGATTGAATACCTAATCGAACGCCATGAAATCGGAGTGTGTCGCGTCAAGCAGGCGCACGGCTAAAACAAACATAAATTATACGCGAGGAGGAAGGAAATATGCTAAGAAGCTGATATACGGGCCGATTAGATTGCGGCTCGAAAAATTGGAAGCAAGTTACGTGTGCGGAAACTTAAGAGCAGCTTAGTCGAAATAATAAAGGAACTATAAATTCTGACTGTGAAGTAGCACGCGAGTTTACTCGCTATCAATCGGCGCGCGAGAGCTTTGCGAACTGGCGATCAAAAGAAACATGATATCCTTGCTGTGTTCACTTCTTTTCCACCCCTGTTTTTTCCTTCTTCCTTGAATTTTCTTTTCTCTCCTCTTAGTTAGAATGTACACGATCCTACGTTAATTAATTGTTAATGATCTCTTCACGAAGCAAATAATAAGCGGAATATTATATTCTCGTTGTTCTTTGCATACATAGCGGAATTCAAATGAAAGAGTCTCGAGATTCGATTTCCAGAAGTCGAGCATTTGTGAACGAGTACCCTCTGCCTCTTTAATATTAAACGGCACTTTGTGTTTCTTCGTAATTTCTATGCTTCGCAGGTGTTACAGATAGATATGAAAAGATACGGTCTCTGCCGTAATAAATTATATAATAAGATAAACGTTACTGTTAATTGGCAGCATTATTCTCGGTTTAATTCGCCAACAGTTCTTAATGTATCCGCAGTCACGATAAATACGAATCGTATATAAATCAGATAATCGGCACACGTTTCTGCATCGCACCGCGAATTTCATTAATACAGATAGAACGAGACCTTTTATTCTACAGCTAAGATTGCGTTTACATCCACATGGTGCGATTATAACGCGGATTTAATTAACACATAATTCATTACACGTAGACAATTAACCTGTTCTTATACGTTACAGTGTATACATAAATCAACCCGTTAAATATACCTGCCATTTGTTTCCTCCAGTAGATTATTATATAAATAATATCTGCTACACGCGTTACGTTACGTATAGTGTTGAACAGGAAACATTTTCTCACTCCACAATGTACCGACACTTATCTGCAAATTTGTTACCCCAGTATTTAATTATATCTTTTTAATACCATGCACTGGATTCTATCGTGTTTGAGACTTCCAGGATGTAACGCTTTGGAATTGAACGCACTCAAATTGAAAACTTTCAAATTCCATGCCCTGAATTTGAAAATTTCCAAATTTCACGCCCTTAAATTGAATACTCACGGATACCACGCCCCTAACTTGAAAGCTCTCGAATTCCACGCCCCCAAATTGAATGGTCCCGAATGCCACGCCCCCAATTCGAAATCTCCCGAACTGGACGCCTCCAATTTGAAAGCTTCGAGCTTGGACGCCCTCGATTTCATCGTTTTCAACCTGAACGCTTCCAACTCAACCACTTTCAACTCGAACAGTCACGAATTAATCGCGCCGCGATAAATCATTTCCAGAGCAGCTCCGCATCTGAAACGCGTCAACGCCTAATCGGCCCCGTCCACTCCGTGTCCAGCTGTATTAAAATTCAAAACGCTACGAGCGACACGGGCTCGCCAGGGCGGAAGAATCTGTCTGGTCTCGTTTCGCGTGTGACTGAAAGGGGTGCGTGGCCCATCAGATGCGACAGCTTCACTGCTTGCAACTTTGTCGTTCGTGCGTACGACTACCGATAACTTTCTCTCTCTCTCTCTCTCTGGGCTTCGTTACCGCGCAGCGGTGCATGATTGTGAGCAATAATTTTATGAATTTATAGCTTTCCATGTGTGTCGCCGACGGCATTCGCGGTGGTTTTCCGGATTTCGTTAATTAAGACGTCTCGTACGACAAAATGTCGTGGTTCAATCGCGGCCTCCTTAATTGTTCGAGTGCGTTAATGAGCTACGTTTTAATATCCGTCGTCTAGCTTAGAGGCAGATGTGAACAACGTTGACAGAAATAATACGATCATTGCAATTGACGTTCTTCTCACTAGAGAGCTAATTAACTAATAATTTCTTCATTTCGAGAAATTTCTGTACAGTAGCTTTTACTCATTCCTTTAGATACAGAAATGTAATGAAGTGTATACACGGTGTTCCGTGCGAATCAGACGGATTCACGATCAATCATCCCGTCGAAAATCCGTCGCGGAAAGAAAGAAACGTCTGGCGTAAATATCGAAATGATAAGATGTATGGTCCGCCTGATGGGTTTCATGACTGGCCGTAATT